AGTCTAATTTATTTATTATAATAGAAATCACTAATTTTGTTAAAAATAGTAAATATCTTAATCATAATTGTATATCTTAACTCTATAAAGGAAAGCATATCTTAGCATTTAAAATTATGAGAAAAAATTTATGAAGAGATATATAACTTTTGTGGTTTACATTATAGAATAAATTTAATGAAAATATAATGATAATATAAAAGAGTGATTTGATGTATTTTTATAAATATTGAATTTTAAGATCCATAAGATATGTATATTATTCCTCGTAATGTTTAGGTTTATAATAATAATCTATTTTTGTTTTTTATCCCTTGTGGTATACAAATAGAATCACATCAAATTTTAACTCTGCGTGTGTTTTTCTTTATAATTTTAATTTGTTATTTTTCAGTTTATAATTTTCTATGATCATATTGAAGAATGTTTGGCAAGATAATACAATAACATTGAAATTAATTATTTTTTACGTTTAGAGTAAATATTACATAATAATCTATTAAAATATTTTACGTTAGAAGATAAATCTATAGAATTTAAGATATGAACCATAAGTTTTTAGGGGGAGCAAAAATTTTCAGATTTGTTAAATACTTGTACGGGTAGAGACTAGAGAGTAATCAGTCGATTTGAAAAAGCAACTTAACCAACCAATTTTTCATTCTTTACCAAATTAACCATCAAATAAAGTTCAAGATTCATTATAAACTTCATCATTGAGATTTTTCTACTCATATTTTGGTCATCAAAGCTTAAAATTTTTCAAATCACTCAGACTCGAGCGACGTGAAAAGTTAGTACGAATGCAAAACGGGTATCCATGTCACACCCCAAAATTTGGGTTAATATTTTAGTCTTGATAAATCGTAATTTTATTGGCTTCAATTATTTATTTTGAAATAAATTGAATAAATGTTAATTTTAAAGATATTGACTTATCATGTAGTTTTACCAACTTATTTTTAGTAATCATTTTCCTCAATTTTCTTATTTAGAGTTCCATTCCAAGTGTAATTCATATGTTTGTTTGATTTCAAATTCTTTTCTTTATTCTCATAATATTATCTTATTATTAAATTATTTATTTATATTATTTATTTATTTTAATTTTAAAATATATTTAGTAACTATCTATTTTAGAGTTAATTTTAAATAGAAATTCTATAATCTTATTTTAGTTGAATTTGATCTTATCAATTTATAAAGTATTTTTTCCTAACCTTATATTGTCATGAAATAAAGAGAAAAAATTATCTTTTCTCTTATTATTTCATTTCAAATTCACGACTATTATTTAATTAGCTTTTTTAAGATCGTGTGGCCTCTCTCCACTAAATTTTCGACTCAAGATTTTGACTACAAAAGTATTTGCTCGTCAGTATATTATTGCTATGTGATTTAAAGTGTGTTTTACTTGCTACAATCGTTTTAATTTTGTTTAATAGTTTTTCTGTAAATCTGAAATAATTAAATTTTAATTGATGTTGTGGTGATGTATCTGAATCTCTATGTGTCTCTATCGGTGACAAATTTATTATGATAATTGTTTGCCTGATTGAAAATTTATTTGAAGCATGACTATTATGTATTATTATTGTATTAAATTCAATTCGGATAAATATGTTATGTGACATATGTTATATATTGACTTTGGAATTTATGTTGTGCATTCAGATTTTGAAATTTATGTAATATTTTCACATTCGATCAAATCATAATTCAAATATGTATATTTTATGTCATGTCACATGGCGTTGGGATTGATAAGGGAAGTTCAATGTATTCACCTAAGGGTAAATTTGACTTCGGATTCAATTGACTGTGCCTTCTGGGAACCTACTCTTCGAAGTGTGGTGCATGAGTGCATTACATTTGCGTATTTATTCGCACCATGAATATGACTCGAATTGTGATTATGTTTGTTGTTTTGTAGACACTCTTGTTCGGGATTTTTATTGTTTTTATTTTTATTTCTATTATTATAATTATTAATATTAAATATTAATTTAATTTATTTTTGTTATTTTGTAGGCTATTACAAATACCCATTTGGATCCAAATCCCAAACTATGTTACAAGACCTATTATTCCCTGACCCAAACCCGCTGGAGGCCCATCTCAAGCCCAAGGATCCTCAGCAGCTCTTATGGTCCCTCCAGTCCACGTGAAGATTCCCTGGGCAAAAGAACGGTTATGGGTGGAGGGATTAGTCATCAGCAGTTAACCAGAAAAGAGGGATGCACGAAAAACCTCCTCTATCGTTTTTGACAGGAAGGGGTTCATTAAACCGGGAAAACAGTTTTGTAGGGGGGAAATGGCTATTTTCTTGTATTAGAGAGCACTTTAACAATGACGGGGGAATGTAACAGGGGTCTCGAGGATTATTTTTCCATCGAGGAAAAGCAGTGTAAACAGGGGGTCTTCCTACCATTGTCGAAGCAATACAAGAATTTTTTTTGTTTTTTATTTCTTTCGAGCAACACAATTCATTTTCATTTTATACTCTTTACTTCATAAAAATAACACCAAGCAAGCATCTTTATAACCAGAAGAAACCCAACAAACAAACAGCATTTGAAACAAAGAAAAAGAAAAGAGAGAGGAAGTTACCCATTCGGCCGAACCTATTTGCTGGTGATGGCGATGACTCCGGTGGTTGGATTGTAAATCCCAACGGTGGACTAGATGATAGCGAGGGTAACAATATAGCTCCTCCCCGCGATGATCCAATGGTGGTGCGATATTGGCCGAAGAAAGAAACGGGATGACCCTCTGTGTTTGACCATTTGGGGTTAATATTTCAAAAATCTGACTCGAGAAAGAGAATATTTACCTGAGCCATACGTCATCGGAGATGAAAGGCAAAGAATCGCCGAGGGTAAGTTTTATTGTCTTTTGAGGTTTCATTGGTGGGTCTAGAGGTTCTCGGTCGGGGTTAGGGTAGAGTGTTGAGAGTTTGGTTAAGAGGTTAACTTAGGGTTGTCTTGGCTGTGGTTTTGAGTTTGGGCTAGCACCGATTCACGGCGGTTTCGTGTGTTTTGGGTCTCGATCGAGAGGGAAGAAAGAGTAAAGAAGGAAGGGCTTTCAGTGGATTGGTGGTCGTTTAGGTTTTGGGTCATGCTGGGTAGCGAGCGGAGTAAGAGTGGCCACCGATTTACGGTGGCCAGTGTGGTGAAGGCCACGGGGAGAGGGTTCTGGTTCACGGTGGCAAGGAGAGTTGAAGAGTGGATGAGAGAGAGGAGAAAGCGGCTGAGAGAAAAATATGAAACGGGCTAGAGTTTTTTTTTTTTTTTGCCTAAAGTATTTTATATAGGGTCATTAGAACGACGTCGTTTGGGAGATAGGTTACACCGTTTCCCGCATGGGTTTTTTCTGTTTGGGCCATTCTAGTTTTACATAGTAATTTATTTTAGTCCCTAAGTCGAAATTTTCATGTTTATAATTTTGTTCCTTTATTTTATGCGCATTTAATTCCAGTCCCAGTATTATTATATTTAATTGTTTATGTTTAGACATTTAACTTTTAAATTTTTGCATGTTACATTTTGGTCTTGAGCGTGTTTGGGTTTATTATGGATTTAGTCCGTTATGGTACAATAGTTTTATTTTAGTTTTAGTAATTGAAATGGTGTAATGTTTGTTTTTCACTTCAGTTGTTATTATTTTGTAGTTAAGATGGTAAATTTCTGTTCTTTATTATTTAGTACCTAGTTTAAATAGTTTACTTAGTTTCTTAACTTTGCATTTTTAAGTGTTATGTTTCCTTTTCTTTATTTTAATCATATTAGGTATTCATGTTAATTTATGTATATAGTTTATATTTATTTTTAATATTATGCATATGCTTTTTCTATTAAAATATTATTGCATGATAATTCTACATATATTTATTAATTAGATAATGTTTTATTTAATTAATTTTTGCATGATAGTCTCATGTGCATAACTCTACCTAATTACATAATTGGATTAAGGGTAATATCCTTTTAATTTAAAATTGTTTTGAGTGGTTTGTCTTTACTTATTAAAGTCGTTTTCGATGATTTTAAATTAAAAGTGTATCATAATAGTGAAACTTAAAATGATTCGTCGCTTTAAATTTGGGAACGAAAGAAAAAAATGTTCGGTTATTTAAATTTTTCGAGAAAATATTGTTAGAACTTATCTAAGATCTGATATCGATATTTTTAAATAATTGAATATTCTTCATCTTTATAAAAAGGCTTGGTAATTTTTAATTTAATTTGTTTTGGGAACATTTGAATATTTTAATGAAACTGTAATATTTCTTTTTTCGATTGAAGTAAGTATCGATTGCCTCAAGGTGTGAGGTTTTGTTTCTTCTCGATAGGAATAATTAAATATTATCAGGTTTCATTTAAAAATTCATTTTGGTTGTTTTATGGGATCAAAAATCAAATTAAACTTGAACTTGTAAATTTTATTGTAAGACATTAATTAATCGATTAGGTCCGATTTAGGGTGCTGTGGGTGTGCTAATCCTTCCTACGTAACGGACTCTCAACTCGATTTTTGATAACGCATACCTCAACTTGTCGTTTTAATTAAAATTATTTTTTTACAGGTTGTGAGATTCCAATGTCGATCTAAACATGAGTACATTTGCTTACCATTTATAAATTTCCATATCTATAAGCCTGTCAAGACTCATACATGAGTATTTCAAGAAAATCAAGAATCGAAGTGCAATAAATAGCTTGTTTTGATCTATTCGTTTAGTATTGTTTTTAATGAAAATCTGTTTACTTTGTAGGAAAGAGAGCAGGCTCTGAGATCCTTTAGAAGTTGCTACAGATGTTGCTTCACGAGGACTTGATATACCTTGTGTTGCTCATGTTATTAACTTTGACATGCCAAAAACATAGATAATTACGTGCACCGGACAGGAACTTGTCCTTACAAATTCATTGACTGAATTACTGAAGGAATCAAACCAGAAGTCCCAACTTGGTTAAGCCAACGTGCTGAAAATTACTATGATGGTAGTAGGGTTAGACATGAGTGGATTTTGGTGGTTACGACTTCCGGAAAGGTATTGCTCTTCAAGCACTTGCAATAATACTTATATTGTTCCTGCCAATGCTGCTGTAAGTGTCAATGCCCCAACTTTTCATAGTAGCAGTGACTGCTATACCAAATCCAGTAATGCCAACTCTTTGGTTGCGGGTGCCATGAATATCTATGTTGCTGCTCCATATGGTTATGGATCGATCATTGCCAGTGGGTGGGACTAGATTTGCATCCCTCCATGATCATGCTACATTGTTTAGTTTAGAGGTTGTAGTGTCAAATTTTCTACTCATATTTTCAATGGTTAATCCAAATCCATTTTAAACGTTTTATATTATTTTTATCTTATCATTTAAGACTTCTTTTATTAAAATTTAAATGATTAATTTGAATTTTTTTACGTTTTCATTCTAATATTTCATATTATTATAGATTTAAAAAATTTATAAAATATAAATGATGTATAGTAAACAAGACGAGTAGAGTCGGATTTGGAATTTAAATGTTAGATTATAAATTTAGTATATGATATAAAAATCCTTATTATAATTATTTATAATGTTTTTAATAATTTGGGATGATTATCATGTATTATCTGTCTAAAATCTTTTTTATTGATAACGTACTAACACAACTGCTTGAACTCGAGTCCTCTAAGGAAAAAAAAAAGCATTTACCATGGAAGACTTGAAGTCAATCAATGAGTTCAACTATTTTATACTTATATTATTAATTCTTTTCTATGCTAATTTTTTTTTTAATTATTTGACTTAATATGTAAACTAATAATAAAATTTGACTTAATAGACTTTAATCATTCAAAATTTCAAAGTTTGAGAGTAAAGAATTAAACATAGTAGATGGACTAACGAGAGAATATGAGCATAGACTTGTGTAATATTTGAATTTTGTTCAAAATTTCTAAGAGTGGGTTTTACTTGAATTGAAGATGAGTCCAATACAAATCGCCCAAGTTAGGATCCGATCCGAATTGCACATCCTATAAATCATACGGGTAATCGTTGCGTTGCTTCTCTTAAACCCTAATTTTATTACACCAACAAAAACCCTAGACTCTCCTCTCTTTTTAATCTTCCTCTTTGCTAGCCGTCTCTCTCAACCAAAATGGTACTCATTCACTCTCCATACGTTCCTCTAATGTTGATTCTTTGCATTTATGTTGCAATTGACTCTGGTTTTTTGTTTGGCAGACGGGAGAGCCAGTGAATCCCAAAGCATACCCTTTAGCCGATGCTCAATTAACCACCACCATTTTGGATCTTGTTCAACAAGCTGCTAACTACAAGCAGCTCAAAAGGGAGCTAATGAAGGTTTGGAACATACCCATTTTCAATTTTCAATTTTTGAGATTTCTGATATGGTTTTTCTTCATTTTGTTGGAATTCAGCTACTAAGACCTTGAACAGGGGTATCTCGGAGTTCGTTGTCATGGCTGCCGATACTGAGCCCCTTGAGATTCTGTTGCATCTTCCTTTGCTCGCTGAAGATAAGGTAATTTAGTTTATGGAATTTCTTCATGATATTTTCGTTTCTTTATTTGTATTTTCTTGTGCATGTGAACGGAAGTCTGTTTTTTTAATTTGTTATGTTACATAATAAGTAAAGAAGGTAGCAAAAGGTTTGTGCTCTAAACATACACTGCAAATGAAAATATATTTCAACAATGGTCCAACCTGAAAAATTCAAATTCTCATATAATATAGTTATTTTCTTTGTATTCTATATTCATAATTTGTTTTTGCCAAATTTTATGAGTTCGCCCCCTTTGAAATTTTATAAATTTGGCCCATAGAATATCATGCATCTGTCCATGTGAACAGAGTCTTCTGAGCATTTTGAAGCCATTTTTTGTCTTTTTTTATTATTTATACACCAACTTTGCTGTTTATGGTTGATATCTGGTAGTCGTCTAACGTTTTGTTCCTCCTAACATTGTGCTCTTTTGTTAATAATAAGCCGTTTGGACCTCGCAAATATTTAGCCATGCAAGTTTTTTTTTGTTGTTGACAAATTGTCGTGGTTTTGGGGCACATATATTTCATTGATTCATTTTTATTAAAAAAATCCATGTTTAGTATGTCTACGGTACTTTCTGTTGTATACGACATATATTTAGCTCAATGTAAAGTTTATAATGGAAACAAAATTCAATTACCACCTCTTACTATCTTTCCATGTAGCAGAAATGTCTTGGGAAGCTAAAATTTTCTATTTTTCATGGTCGTTGAAAGATTGCAATTTAACATCACAATAACAATCTCTATATTCAAACTTTTGCAGAATGTGCCATATGTATTTGTTCCTTCAAAGCAAGCACTTGGCGCATGTGGTGTGACGAGACCTGTAATCGCCTGCTCCGTCACAACAAATGAAGGAAGCCAATTGAAATCACAAATACAACAGCTCAAGGTATACTTTACTTTCTGAAAGAATATGTTACGGCTCATGTGTTTCTTCATACTTTTTGCGCTTGCTTATGCTGTTTGTTTGTGAAATGCAGGATGCCATTGAGAAGCTCCTAATCTAAAGATATTATGTAACTCGTATTCGGTGTGATAGCCCTCTTGGAATTTGGTGGTTTCTCCTTTAGAGGCTTTGACTGATGAAGTCGAGCCTCTATTGAGCCGGTCTTTTAATGTTTGATCTTATAAAATGCCATTGTTGTGTCTTATTATGTTTTCTTATGAACTGAGAGAAGAAAGGGTAATTTTAAGTTTGATGTTTAGCTCAACTAAGTATGAATCATGTTATGAATTAATGTTTGTCTGAATTTGTTAAATATGTTCCGTTTGTACTGTTGCAGTTTCATATTTTCGATTTAATTGATCGAATTAATTTTGGATTTTAGGTTTTTTATTTAATTTATCTGATCGATTAAAATGTATTCCATAAGACCCAAAAAAAGGTATTGTCTGGTGCATTGGTCAAGGACACTGTTTGCTAAACTTCAACCCTCCTCCCCGGTGGCCATTTTAACAAGATTTTCCTAATAATCTCCATGATCATTCAATAAGAATGTATTCCATCTACTTTATTAAAATTGAAAATTTAGTTATCTTCTTTGATCCTTAAACTAACTGATAACTTACTTCAATTGTTAAACACATGAACTTGAATCAATGATTGTCGAAATTGCTCTGTGGCGTTTAGTTGAGTCTTCATTTTGGGTTAGGTACGATGGATTATCATAAATATGGTTTACGTCTAACTAGGGGTGTAAACGAGCCGAGTCGAGCTCGAGTATTGCCGAGCTCGACTCGAACTCGAAAACTTTAAATGTAGGCTCGACTCGAAAACTCGCGAGCCTAAAATTTTCAAGCTCGACTCGAACTCGAAAGAAAATATTGAAACTCGACTCGAACTCGAAAAGGCTCGAACTCAAAAAAAATTTAAGAGCTCGATTGTAGCTCGAGACTCAAGCTCGATTGAAGCTCGATTTTGAGCTCGATTCAAGCTCGAACTCGAATTTGAGCTCGATTCAAGCTCGAACTCGATTCAAGCTCGAACTCAAACTCGAATTTGAACCTACAAAAATCTTTTATTACATTTAAAATATATAAATAATTTTCCCTTTAATCAACCATCACCAATACATTATAATATGAATGTATGAACTATAAAAAATCTAAAAATAAAAATACAATTATAAGAAATTTAGGATAATTAATATAAGCTTTGAAGTTTTTAAAACTTCAAATGTATTGAAAGTTTACAAAACATGGCAACACATCTAAATTTATAAAAATGACAAATATGACAACATATCCAAATTTATACAAGATGACACTATTTTCCTTGCAAAAGATAACAATATCATGATAGTTGCATATTTACTTAAAAAATAATACAAAAAATGATTTCTACCAGTTAAGCTTACTTACAAAAGATGGCATCAACATGTCAAGTTTACTTACAAGAGATTGCAACATGTCAAGTTTACTTACAAAAGATTGCAACATGTCAACCAGTTAGCTTTACTCGCATATATGAGAACTTATTGTTACCCAAAGAACAAGAAACTTCTTGCATTCACTTGGAAATGTGGGATAGTCAATAATTCAACAGTGCAAAATAACGATAAAAGGAATTTTAAATGGTTTCATGGTTAGAAACATATATGAAACTATTAAATTAGACAAAAAGAAAAAAAATTATATATATAATTATAAAATTTAACTCACACTTCCCACTGTCTTCTGAACAGCAGCAACACGTTGGAAAGCCCTTTCAGCTCCCAAAGTCCGCACTCTAAGCTTCATATCACCTTGTTCCTGTAATATGCAGCATTTTGCAACAACAGTTTAACACGACAATTATTTTAACCTTTCAGAAGATATTAGAAGGAATCTCCAACCCTACCAATCTTTGGATGGTTTCAGCAAGCATATCAACTCTATCTGTCCCATCTCTTTCTAAAGTCCTGAAATATTTATGTAGGTTTTCATGAAAATAGAACTTTATCATGAAAAATACAACTCAAATCTAGAATCGAAGATTAGAACATTACCTTCAAGGCAACTTCAACCCCAGTTTCACAGAATCTTAACAACTCCAGTGCATAGCTAGAAGCAATAAAGAGCAATATAATCAGATATACAGAAAAGAATGAATGACTAAACCATAATAAAGTAAGTAAAATTATAAGGATCTTAAGGATAAAACCACACTCACGGTTTTGTAATCTCATTTATGTCAAACCGAGGATCAAGGCCCTTCCCTATGCCATCTAATATTGCAGGCGAAATAATACGTTGTGCTTAAGTTCTTGTTCAATACATCACAAATATAAATGAAGCAACCAGGTTAATGCATTACCTGAAAATGATCTGACAACAAATGTGAATGTGGCAGGGAATCGGAAGGGTTGATCTGCTGCAATGGCTATTAAATCTTCCCCTGTTCAGGTAATGTAACATTAATGAGAAGCAGGAACCCACCCAAGAGAAAATGAAAGGTTAAACAGCAGAATATGAACTCAAAGGGATAAATGGAAATCAATAGATCAAACGGAACTATAATCTTGAGACCCAAATATGAGCCAAGATCATAACAGAAACTTATTTTTCTAACCCATAACCTATCGTCGTCTTCGCTAGGAACCACTATCTCATCTAGGGGAAGGTACACCCTTCATCTTTTACGGTTTTCCAGTCGTGCATGTTGGATTCAAATTGTGGGTTTTAGGGATTTGAGGGGTTTTCTAGGTTAGTCGTTGGGGTTTATGGGGAGAGGAGAGGTTCAATAAGTTTGGGTTTCTTGCCTAGGCTAGTGAGAAAGAGTGGTCCGGCCGTTAGGGCTCTTCATCAGAGCCTGTTGGGACGGCAAAGGTCGCGGTGGTCGTGGTCTGGCAGGGTTACGGGGTGGTGAAGTTGGGTATTTACGAGGGTATTCTAGGTTTAAGTTTAAGGTTTTGGGGATGTTTTTTATGAAGGTTGTCACCAGAATCTGTTTAGGTGAAATTTAAGTTCCACATCGGAGCACTAGGCGGCTGAAGCCACGGCTGTGGGTCTCTGTTAGGGTTGAGCGTCGAAAATGATAGAAGGTAGGGATGAGAGAGCGACGAGTTGTGTCTCGTTGAGGAGAGATGAAATGATTTAGGTTAAGCGTTTCACCCTAATCTTCCAATATATTCCAGCGACCAAAACGACGTAGCTTTAATCAGCACCAAAACGAATTATTAGCATTTTAGGACCTGCTATATTTGTAATCTTCTGATTTCGTCATTGATCAAAGTTTACTTTTTTATGATTCGAGTTGTTAATTTATTTTTATTTTATGTTTTGATCACCGTTGTTTTGATAATGAACCTATTGATTGATTTGACCAAGTGTGATTTATTAGTTTATTTACATATAACCCTTGTTAATTTCATTAATTTCATTTTGCATAATTTGTATGCTACCTTCATGTGCATAACTTAACCCCTATCACATAATTAGATTAAGTGTTTAGGGTTTAGGGCTTAAGGTTTAGGGTAATCTAACATGTGTTTAATTAAATGAGCTTTTATTTTTCTTTTAGTACCCTATCACATAATTATATTAAGAGTTTAGGGTTTAGGATTTAAGATATAGGGCTTAGGGTTTAGGGTTTGGGTTTAGGGTGTAATCTAACACGTGCTTAATTAAATAAGCTTTTATTTTTCTTTTAAAACCCTATCACATAATTAGATTAAGAGCTTAGGGCTTAGGGATTAGGGATTAGAATTTAGGGTTTAGGGTTTAGGATGTAATCTAACATGTGGTTAATTAAATGAGCTTTTATTTTTGTTTTAGTAATATACAATGTAACAATTGGACTTGAGTTGCTTAATTAAAAAAATTAAAATTTGAGAATAGTTGTTTTATAGAATTTTTAATATCAATAATGTATTTTTAATAAATTTTTTATAATGTAATTTTTAAAAATATAAATTTTTCGAGCTGCTCACGAGCTTTTCGAGTTGAATATCGAGTAGCTCATTTCGGCTCGTTAAGAAATCAAGTCGAGCTCGAGCTCGAGTCGAGTCCATACGATCCGAGTATTTATCGAGCCTTGATCGAGTCGATCTCGAGTAACTCACGATCTATTTCGTATCATTTACAGCCCTACGTCTAACATCATGATTAAAATCAGATTTAGGAATCAATTATACGTGGGAAAGTTTAAAGCATCCTCGCAACGATTAAAATTAATATCTTTAACTGGGTCAAATGTGATATCGTTTTTCAAAATAAAACAATAAAGTGTTAATAATATTATAATACACAAGATAAATAGATAAGTAAATATTGTTAAAAATAGTTAAATAAATTAATTAACATGTTAGGAAAATATTACAAGAAATACGAGTTACACGGGCTCCAACCCCTATTTTTTCAAAGTTCACAATTTAATCCTTATCAAAATTAAACTTGATTTCTTGATACTCCAAATTAGGAATAAAAAACATAAACGATGCAACTCACATCTCCACTGCCTTCTTCATCATTCACACGTGGATCCGTCACTACCAATAAAGAGAAGGTTAGAGAGGAGGAGAAATTTTCAAGAAAAAAGATTTCAAGTTTTTGTTTGTTTAGAAAGGGTGAAAAAAGTTAACAATTTTGTTGACTTGTCATGTCAACAATCTAACAGATGTTAATGTCCGAGTGACCAAAAGGTTATAATTCGAAAATGTTAAGTGTCCAAAACAAAACTTTTAAAAATTGGTGACCAAAATGCAATAGAACAAAAATAAAGGCACTAGTATATTACCCTAAAATGATTTATAGGAAATAAATTGACAAGTCATTTTTTTGAAAAAAAATTGCTACGTTAACTTGTAGAATGATTTTCACCGACTATTTTTTTCATAAAATATTTTATGTAAAATAAACATACCCTAATTTTATGTTATTTCTACATAGGGATGGACATGAGTTGGGTTTCGACCAACCCGACCCGACATGACCTAAATATATACCCTCCACCAGACTCGATCCTAACCCGATTTTTTGAGATAAAATTCAATCTGATCTGACCCGACTTGAATAATAAAATATTATTTTTATTCAAAAAATAGTGATTTAATTGAAAAAAATAAAATGTAGAGGTATGTTATTGTAATTATTCCTAAATATAATGTAAAATTATATTTTTTCGAGTTAGGTCGGGTCATATATTTTTCACCCTAAATTCAAATCTAACTTGGCCTGAACATTTCTTTTAAAAAATATGACCCGATCCAAACTCGAATCAGTTTGTATCGAAACCCATCAGATTCAGGTACTATGTCCATCCCTATTTCTACACGTTGATGTCACG